ACTCCGGTTCCCACCCCCCTGCCAAACTAGTTTAAACCCTCCCAAAGAGCTCTAGCAAACCTCCTGCCCAGGATATTGGTGCCTCCCCCCTGCCAGTTCAGGTGCAACCCGTCCTTCCTGTACAGGTCCCAACTTCCTCAGAACGTATCCCAATGATCCACAATCCCGAAGCCCTCCCTCCTACACCAGCTCTGTAGCCACATTTCAGCTGCACTTGCTCTCTGTTTCTGGCCTCACTAGCCCGTGGTACTGGTTGTAATCCTGAGATTACTACTCTGCTCATCCTGGCTTTCAGCTTCCATGCTAACTCCCTATATTCAGTTTTCAGGTCATCTTCCTGTTTCCTAGCTATGGCTCTCCCTCCCCCTTAAGAATCCTGAAGGCTCGATCCGAGACATCCCTGACCCTGGCACCCAGGAGTTAACATACCATCCAGGAGTCTCACTCAGTACCACAGAATCTCCTGTCTGTTCCCCTAACCATTGAATCTCCTACCACTATCGCTCTCCTTCCCTTCTGAGCCACAGAGCCAGGCTCAATGCCAGAGACCTGGACACTATGGCTTTTCCCTGGTAGGTTTCGCACCCCAACAGTATCCAAAGCGGTATACTTATTGTTGAGGGGAAACAGCCACAGGGGATCCCTGCACTATCTGCCTATTCCCTTTCCCCCTTCTGACAGTCACCCAGCTACCTTTGTCCTGCAACTTGGGTGTGACCACCTCCCTATACGTCCTATCTATCACCCCTGCAGCCTCCCGAATGATCCAGAGTTGTTGTTCTTCTTGACCACAGCATCAATATCCCTTATCAGTCAGGGATCCCTAAACCTGCCAGCTTTTCCCATCACCCTAACAGGGTGATACTGTCCCTGGATTCTTGATATCACACTTTTAAAAGCCTCCCATTTGCCTGTCATTCCTTTTCTTCACCCAATCGACCTCTGCTAGATCTTACCTCATGGCCCCAAAATTTACCCTTCTCCAGTTCAGCACCTTAACCGTGGTCCTGTCCTATCTTTATCCATAACTACGTTAAAATTAAGAGAGTTAAGGTCACTGGACCCAAAGTGCTCTCTGACCAACATTTCAGTTACTTGTCCAATATTGTTTCTTCAGAGGAGGTCCAGTGTTGCACCGTCCCGAGTAGGGCCGTCTACATATTGATTTAGGAAACTTTCTTGGACACATTTGACAAATTCTACCCTATCTAGGCCTTTTACACTCTGGGTTGCCCAGTCAATACAGGGGAAATTAAAATCTCCAACCAATACAACTTTATTATTCCTACAGGTATCTGCAATCTCTCTGCATATCTGCTCCTCTAGTACCCACTGGCTATCTGGGGGTCTATAACACAGTCCCAACAGAACGACCATCACCTTCTTGTTTCTAAGTTCAAACCATATGGCCACATTTGATAACCCTTAACAATAGTGCTTAGAGAAGATATTCTATGTCCTCCCTTATCAAAAGGGCAACTCCCCTTCCTCGTTTTCTTGCACTTCTGTCACATCTTTAGCTTCTGTATCCTGGAACATTAAGCTGCCAATCCTGCCTTTCTTTCAGCCATGTTTCTGTTATGGCTATAATATCCCAGTCCCCAGAGGCAATCTATGCTCTGAGCTCATCTGCCTTATTGGTCAGACCTTGTGCACTGAAGTAATGCACTTCAAACCGGAAGTATTTTCCCTCCCTTTACTGTGCCCCTAGCTATCCTGAATAGTAAACTTGATCTTGATAGCTAATGTATTTTCCCCTGGCTTGTCGATGGCCCCTCTCTTATACAGAGCCCCACATGCCTACAAACTAGTTTAAACCCTCCTGGGTAACACTAGCAAATCTCGCCGCAAGGATATTGGACCCCCTCTGGTTCAAGTGCAGCCCGTCCCTCTCGTACAGGTCATTTCTAACCCAGAAATGATTCCAATGATCCAAGAACTGTAAACTCTGTCCTACACCAGCTCTTCAGCCATGCATTTACCTGGTCTGTCTTTCTATTTCTACCTTCACTGGAACTGGGAGTAATCCGGAGATCGCTACCTTTGAAGTCCTGCTTTTTAAATTCTTACCTAACTCCCTCTACTCATTTCACAGGACCCCATCCCTTTGTGCACATCGGTACAAATGACATAGGTAGACAATGACCTCTGGTTAGTCATCCTCCCCCTTCAGACTGTTCTGCAACTGTGCAGAGACATCTTTGACCCTGGCATCCAGGAGGCAACACACCATCTTGGTGTCTCTTCCGCAGCCACAGAACCTCCAGTCTGTCCCCCTCACAACGGAGTCTCCTATCAGTATTGCTCTGTCTGACGGCACCCTTTCCCTCTGAGCCTCAGAGCCGGTCACAGTGCCACTAACCTGACTTCTGCTGCTAGCTCCTGAAAAGTCATCTTCCCCTACAGTATCCAAAACAGTATACCCGTTATTGGGGGAAATGGCCACAGGGGAACCCTGCACTATCTGTCTATAACCCCACCCCAACACCACTTACTTCTTCCAGCTACCTGCAGCCAGCACCTTTGAAGTGACCATTTCACTATAGCTCTTACCAATGATGTTCTCTGCACCCCAGGTGATCCTGAGTCCATCCAGCTCCAGCTCCCATTCGCTAATTTCTATCACATCATCCCTCCGCCCCTGCACTCTAACAAAAACAAACATATAATTTAAGATAACAAGCTGTAGAGCCGGATGAACACAGCAGGCCAGGCAGCATCTTTGTCCAACCTATCCTTATAGCTAATCCACTTCAATCCGGGCAATATCCTGGTAAATCTCTTCTGCACCCATTCCAAAGCCTTCACATGCTTCCCACAGTGTGGCAACCAGAACTGTGCACATTATTTAAAAGTCTTCCACATGACTTGTCAACTTTTGTACTCGGTGTCCTGACTGAAGAAGGCAAGCATGCTAATAGCTTCCTTTATCACTTTACCGTCTTGTTTGCCACACTTGAGGGAGGTATGGACTTGGACCCCAAGATTCCTTTTTATATCAATACTCTTAAGGGTCTGGCCATTTACAGTACACATTCCTCTTGTATTTGACCTCACAAAATGCATCACCTCGCACTTGTCTGGATTAAACTCCATTGTTCATTCCACCTGATCTATATCCTGTACATTCTTTGATATCCTTACTCATGATCCACAATTCCACCAATTTCCATGTCATCTGCCAACTTCCTAATCAGACCACTATTTCCCTCCAAATCATTTATATCTATTACAAACAACAGTGGCTAGACGTGTGTCTCAGGGATCAATGTTGGCACCGCAAAGGTTTACAATTTTCATAGTTGATTCACAGCTAGGGAGCAAGTATAGTGAGTCAAAGTTCACAGGTGAGACCAAGATGACTGGTAGAGCAAAGTGTGCAGACAACACAAAGTCTGCAGAAGGGTATAAATGGGTTGAGTAAGTGGGTAAGGGTCTGGCAGATGAAGTATAACGTTGGTAAATGTGAGGTCATCCATTTTGTCAGAATAACAGCAAAATAGACTATTAATTAATTGGTTAAAAATTGCAGCATGCTGCTGTGAAGAGGGACCTGGGTATCCTTGTGCATGAATCATAAAAAGTTAGTTTGTAGGTGCAGCTGGAAGTTAAGAAGTCAAATGGAATATTGTCCTTCATTGCTGGAGGGACGGAGTTTAAATATGGGGAGGTTATGCTGAAGCTATATGGGATGGTGAGGCCACACCTACAGTACTGTGTAGAGTTATGGTCCCCTTACGTGATAAAGAATGTATTGGCACTGGAGGGGGTGCAGTGGAGGTTAACTAGGTTGATTCTGGAGTTGAAAGGATTGGCTTATGAGGAGAGATGGAGTAGACTGAAACAATACGTGTTGGTATTTAGAAAAATGAGTTAGGGGGATCTTATAGAAACATATAAAATTATGAAGGGAATAGATAAGCTAGAAGCAGGGAGGTTGTTTCCACTGGCAAATGAAACTAGAACTAGGGGCATAGCCTCAAACTAAGAAGAAGCAGATTTAGGACTGAGCTGAGGAACTTCTTCACCTGATGGGTTGTGAATCTATGGAATTCCCTGCCCAGTGAAGCAGTTGAGGCTACCTCATTGAATGTTTTTAAGGTAAAGATAGATATATTTTTGAACAGTAAGGGAATTATGGGTTCTGTTGAGTGAGTGGAGGAAGTGGAACCGAGTCCACGGAAAGATCAGCCGTGATCTTATTGAATGGCGGAGCGCGGTCAAATGGGCCAGATGGCCCAGTCCTGCCCCTATTTCTTATATATGTTTTTGTGTAACAGAAGTCCCAGCAGTGATCCTTGTGAAATACCACTACTCCCAGAACTCCAGTCAGAAAACCACCCCTCCACAACAAACCTTGTCTTCTACAGCCAAGCCAATTTTGTATCCAACTTGTCAACTTACTATGTATTCCATGCGATTTGATCTTCTGGATCTGTCTACCATGTTAAATGCTTCAGTAAAGTCTATGTTGACAACATTCACTGCTTTTTCCTCAATCATCTTCATCAATTCTTCAAAATCTCAATCAAGTTTGAGACACAAGACCTCACCTGAACAAAGCCACGCTAACTATTGCTAATAAATCCATTCATGCCCAAGTGCAAATAAATCTTGTCCCGGTGAGTCTTCTCCAATAATTTCCCTACCACTGATGCAAGGGTCACCAGGCTATAATTTCCTGGATTATCTCTGTTGCCCTTCTTGAACAAAGAACAACACGGATAGAGATCTTAGCCACAAGTGAAGTCCCAGAAGACTGGAGAATAGCCAGTCTCCTCTCTTGCATTCTTCAGTATCTTGGGTCGGATCCTAATGTTTTTAAAGACACCCAACACCATCCCCTTCTTAAATTCGACATGCTTACAGTATCAATAAATCCTTTTCAAAATCCATATCATTTTCATTGCTCACTTCTAATGTAAAATATTCATTAAGGATGTCACCCACTTCCTCTGACTCCACACAAAATTCCCTCGTTTATCCTCAAGTGGACCTACCTTTTCTCCTAGATACCCTCTTACTCCAAATACAGGTATAAAATTGTTTGCGATTCTCCTTAATACCACTTGTGAAGGGCATTTCATGGTCCGTTCCAGCCCTCCTAATTCCTTTCTTAAGTTCTTTTCTGCTTCCTTTTTACCTCTGAAAAGCCTCATTTCACTTCTGTTTCCAGGGGCGGCACAGTGGTTAGCACTGTTGCCTCATAGCGCCAGGGACCCAGGTTCGATTCCACCCTCGCACAACAGTGTGGAGTTTGCACATTCTGCCCGTGTCTGTTTGGGTTTCCTCCGGGTACACCGCTTTCCTCCTACAGTCCAAAGATGTGCAGGTTAGATGGATTGGCCATGCTAAATTATCCGTAGCGTTCAGGGATGTGTAGCTTAGGTGGGTTATAGGGGCAAAAAAAAAACAAAAAGGGTCACCAGACCTGAAACGTTAACTCTGATTTTTCTTCACAGATGCTTTTCCAGCAGCTTTGTTTTTCTTTCTGATTTACAGCATCTGCACTTCCTTCAGTTTTTCTGTGGGTTAAATGGGGATGGGTCTGGGTAGGATGCTTCAAGGGTCGGTGTGGACTTCTTGGGCCAAAGGGCCTGTTTCCACACTGTAGGGATTCTATGATCTAAATGTTATTTTTGCTTTGCTTTTCTTTTCAACTAAACTTACAACGTCTCTCATCATCCAATGTTCCTGAATCGTGACATCCTTATCTTTCATCACAGGAACATTCAGTTCACGAAATCTGGTCAGTTGGTTTTAAAAGTCTCCCACATGAGATAACTGAAACAGCTACCCAATCCAATTTTTACAGTTCCTGCCTAAAACTGTGGCAATTAGCTTCTTCCCAATTTAGCATTTCCAGCCAAGGAACAGTCCTTTTCCATAAACTATCTTAACACTTTATGATCACCAAATCGCAAAATGCCTCCTCAAAACCCAAAGAACTGCAGATGCTGTCAATCAGGAATAAAAATAGAAGTCGCTGGAAAAGGTCAGCAGGTCTGGCAGCATGTCAAGAAAAATCAGAGTTCACATTTCGGGTCTGGTGCCTCTTCCTCAGAACTGATGGTAATGGGAAAAATGTCCATTTAAACATATAAGATGGAGGGTAAGGAGTAAACGATAGGTGGGGATAGAACTGAGAGAGAGAAGAACAGTTGGATAGACAAAGGAGTAGATAACGAACTGGCTAGGAGGGTGAACAGCTGTTAATAGGGACTGTTAGTGACTAACAATAGATGGCATGTAATGGCAGACTATGTGATAACAAGGCCTGGTGTTGGGGTGGGGGTAAGAGGGCTAGGACATGGGAGAGTTTAGGCCCTAAAATTATTGAGCACGACATTGAGTCTGGAGGGCTGCAGGATCCCCAAGTGGAAACGAGCTGTTGTTCTTCCAGCTTGCACTGAGCTTTGCTGGAACACTGCAGCAAGCCGGAGACAAGAGATGTTGGCCAGGGAACAGGGTGGTGTGTTAAAGTGGAAGGTAACTGGAAGGTCAAGATCTTTTTTGCAGGGAGAATGATGTTCTGCAAAACAGTCACCCAGTCTGCGCTTTGTTTCTCCAGTATAGAGGAGACCACATAGCGAGCAGCAAATGCAATAGACTAGATAGCGGGAAGTGCAGCTTAAGTACTGCTTCACCTGGAAGGTACGTTTGGGCCCTTGGATATGGGAGAGGGAGGTGGTAAACGGGCAGGTGTTACACCTCCAACCTTGCAGGGGAAGGGTGCTCTGGGGCTGTGGGTGGGTGGTGTTCAGAATGAAGGAAGAGTGGACCAGGGTGTCCCAAGGGAACAGTCCCTGTGGAAGACGGACAAGGGAGGGTAGCGGAATATATGTCTGGTGGTGACTTCTCACTGGAGGTGGCGGAAATGGCATCTGATGATCTTTTCGATGTGGACGCTGGTGGATGGCAGATAAGGACAGGGGGAACCCTAACACTTTTGCAGGAGGGAAGAGAGGGGGTGAAGATGGAAGTGCGGGAGGTGGGTTGGACCCAGTTGAGGGCCCTGTCAATAATGGTGCTGGGGAATTTTTGGTTGAGGAAGAAGGTGGACATTTCTGAGGTTGCCTTGTCAAATTTGGCCTCATCTGAACACATGTGACTAGTGATGGAGGAATTGAGACAATGGAATGAAGTCTTTACAGAAAGTAGGGTGTGAGGATGTATAGTCCAGGTAGCTGTGGGAGTTCGGTGGGTTTACAATGGATTAGTGGCCAGTCTATCCCCAGAAATGGAAACAGAGATGTCGAGGAAGGGAAGGGAGGAATCAGAGGTAGACCACGTAAAAGTGAGGGCATGGTGGAAATTGGAGGCAAAATTGATTAACTTTTCCAATTCTGGATGAGAGAGGGAAGCAGCACCGTTTAGATCACCGATACATCAGAGAAAGAGTTGTGGGTGGAGGCTGGAATAAGACTGGAACAAGGAAAGTTCCACATACTCCACGGCAACACAGGCATAATTGAGGTCGTGTGGGTAACCATGGCCTCCCCTCTGACCTGAAGAAAATGAGCCGAGTTAAAAGAGAAGTTGTTGAGGGCAAGGATGAAATCAGCCAATTGGAAGAGGGTGGTGGCGGGTGAGGACGGTTCAGGCCTTTGCTCGAGGAAGACGTGGACAGCCCTAAGACCATCCTGGTGAGGGAAGGACTGTTAAGGGATTGCACGTCCACGGTAAAGAGGCGACAGCTGGATCCTTCAAACTGGCATAAAGTGTCAGAGGAATCACAGATATGTGGGCAGGGACTCAACCTGGGTAGAAAATACTGAGTTCAGGTAGGAGGAGAGGAGTTCTGTGGGGCAGAAGTAGGCTGAAACAATGGGTGTTTGTGGATTTTTGGAATAAGATAGAAGCGAGTTGTGCAGGCATAGGGAACTATCAGCTTGGAGGAAGTGGGGGAGATCACTAGATGAAATGAGGTCAGCTACCACAATTGATACAATGGCCTGATGTGCCACGGTGGGTTCAGCCTCTGCAATGTGAAGGTCAGTACACCAGACAACAATAGCACCACCCTTAATTGGCAGGCTTAATAATAAAGTCAGGGCTGGATCTAAGTGCAGTCAGTTCGAAGGGAGATAGGTTGGATTGGGTGAGGGGGACAGAGAAATTGAGACAACTAATCTCCCTTCAAACTAACTGCACTCTTGTGTGCTTAGATCCAAGCCTCACTATATTATTAACATTGTAGAGGCTGAGCACCAGCTCTCATACCTCCATCTAGCTCCCCCTGGACCATGACCCCACCACGGTACATCAGGCCATTGTATCAATGACAGTAATTGGCCTCATTTCATCTGGTGATCTCCCCTCCACTGTCTCCAAGCTGACAGCGCCCCAGCCCTGCACAGCTCGCTTCGACCTCCTTCCAAAAATCCACACTCAGGACTGCCCGGCAGACCCATTGTTTCAGCCTGCTCCTGCCCCACAAAAAGCTCATCTCCTCTGGACCAGTCCCTGCCCACATACAACTGTGATTCCTCTGATGCCAGTTTCAAAGTTTCCAATTTGCAGGCATCCACCTGCTCTTTACCATAGACGTGCAATCCCCTTAATTGTCCGTCCCTCACCAGGATGGTCTTAGGGTTCTCTGCCTCCTCCTGGAGCATCCTCACCCTCAACAACTTCTCTTTTAACTCCTGTCATTTTCTTCAGGTCAGAAGGGTGGCCATGGGTGCCTGCATGGGCCGCAGTTATGACTGTCTCTTCTTGGGGTACGTGGAATATTCTTGTTCCTTTTCCGCCACACCCACAACTCTTTCTCGAATATATCGATAATATCATCGGTGCTGCCTCCCTGTCTCATCTGGAACTGGAAAGTTCACCAATTTTGCTTCTAGTTTCCACCACGCCCGCACTTTTAACTGGTCTATTGCTGACTTCTCCCTTCCCTTCCTTGATATCTGTTTCCATTTCTTGGGATAGAGTGGCCACTAATGTCCACCATAAACCCACCAAACTCCCACAGCTACCTGGACTATACATCCTCACCCTACTTTCTGTAAAGACTCCATTTCATCCTCTCAGTACCTCCGTCACTAGTCACACACGTTCAGATGAGGCCAACTTTGAAAAGGCAGCCTCCGAAATGCTCACTTTCTTCCTCAGCTGAGGATTCCCCAGCAACATTATCAACAGGACCCTCAACTGGGTCCAGCCCATCTCTTACACTTCCACCCTCACTCGATCTCTTCCCACCCACAACAGTAATAGGATTTCCCTTGACCTTATCTGCCATCCCACCAGCATCCGCATCCAGATCCAGAAAATCAGACACCATTTCCACCAACGCCAGCAAAATGTCACCACCAGACATATTCCCCTCCCCTGTCTGACTTCCACAGGGACCATTCCCTCCAGGACACCCTGGTCCACTCTTCCTTCACTCCCAACATCCTCCCCACCTGCAACCAAAAGTGTAACATCTGCCCATTTACCTCCTCCCTCCCTAGTGTCCAAGGACCCAAACGTACCTTCCAGGTGAAGCAGCACCTCACCTGCCCTTCCCAGAATGTAGTCTACTGCATTCTCTGCTAACAATATGGTCTCCTCTAAATTGGGGAAACAGCATGCAGACAGGGTGACCACTTCACAGAACATCATCTACGTTCTGCCCACTATACCCTGATCTTCCAGTTGCCTCCCACTTTAACCCATCACCCTGTTACCTGGCCAACATCTGTCTCAGGCTTGCTGCAATTTCCATTGAAGCTCAGAGTAAGCTGGAAGAACAACACCTCATTTTCCACTTGCTGACCCTGCAGTCCTCCGGACTCAAATGTCAAGTTAAATACTTTTAGGGCCTAAACTCTCCCATGTCCTAGCCCTCGACCCCATACACCAGGCCTTGTTATCACATGGTGTGTAATGGCAGATCTATCTGTAATGGCGAATCTGTGGTAGTCACTAACAGTCCCCATTAACAACTATTCGCACTCCTAGCCAGATCGTTATCTACTCATTTATCTATCAAATTGCTTGTCTCTCTCTTTGGGCTTTATCTCCACCTGTCATTTACTCCTTATCCTTATCTGCATATAAACGGTCATTTTCCTAGTTAGAGATAGTAGGAACTGCAGATGCTGGAGAATCTGAGATAACAAGGTGTAGAGCTGGATGAA